TCTTGCCCTTGCCTTTGCCGCCCCAATTGCTGGACTTGCCCCAGCTGCCCTTGTGGGAGTCGGACCAGGAGGAGTAGGCCATGCTGGGCAGCCAGGTATCGCTAAAGCTTGTGCTCTGTGTGGCAGAGACGGAGTCTCGCGCACGTGGTGTGACTCCCTCAGCACGATCCGCAACAACTGCAAGCAGGCCTACAAGTCGAGCAGCGGAGGTAAGTGTCCGCAAACGTTCCCACACTTCTTTTTTCAGACAGTGCGCACCGGTCAGGAGTCCTTGCTGGCTGCTGGCCTACGAGACAAAGATGCTGGTGCCGCAGTTAAAAAAGCAAAAGGCCAGTGGCCTCGGAGCATGCGCTTACGGCGTGCTCAGGTGAAGTCTGGCGCAGTGTGCAGCGGCTCCATGGACTGCTTTGATCTCAGTCTCGCTTGCGTAGCCAGTCGAGGTCCTTAGTGTCCTCCTTCTTGGGTGTCTCAACCTTCTCAGACTTCTCGGTCTTCCTGTCCTTTCTGCGTCTCTTCACAGCAGCTGGGCCGTGCCCTTCCCTCTGCTTCCCGCGCTTGGTGCTTGGGGAGGTTGATGCCAAGCGAGGGGATGCGCTCGAAGCAGGCGTGTCCATTCGGCCCGCGGCTCCTGCCGACCCCTCGCCGCTAATTGCCTCGCTGATTGGCTGAGTTCGGAGGTCACAAGCTCCTCGATCCGACAGACGTCCGGCGTCACTTCCCCAACGCGCGCCAGAGCTTTATCATAGATCTCCAAGTCCAGGGCGTGGAGGGCCTCCATGCACGACTCTGCGGTAGGAAGCTAAGCATGTGAGCTGCAGCCAGGACACTCAAAGCATTCGCGCCAAGATGGGGCGGCCGCCAGGGGCTGCCAGCAGGAGCTCCAAGCGTTCCAGGTCGCAGAAGAGGCATCGCAGCTGACCCGGACTGGGCTGTGCTGCGCGGCCCACTGACGAAGCGGAGAACTGACAAGGTGCCAAAGGCGCTCCAACACAGGCCCGGGGCATGTTTCTAGAGTTCTTTTGAGACAGACAATCTGCGAGCCCAAGCACGCAGGCGTCACTGAAAGCTTTCGAGGTGGCACGGGCTCATGCTCACTCCATGCTCCCGGCATACAACTGGAACCGCTGGCATACGGGCTCGGAAGGCCTTGCGTTTTTCCTGGGCAGATAGCAGCACAGAAATTCAGTAGTCAGTGGTGCTTGCTTTCACCCTCCTGGCTGTGTGCCAATCAGGCCGCAGCCTTAAAAACCAACGAGATGGCGGATAAGCTCAACAAGAGATGACAAAGCTGCTCCTTGCCCTCAGGCCGAGCTCAGTTGTCGGCCGCTGCATCAGGGTTGGCCGCCGCGCGCGAGCGAGAGCGAGTCCGCGAGTGCAGAGAGGTGGATGAAGCAGCAGAGCTGTCTTGGCCGAAGAAATCTGAGATCTTCGGCTGCAGTCCCAAGCGTCCTGCATCCCAGGCCTCCCAACGAGTACGTAGCATCCAAGTGACGGAGCCGCGTGCCACGATAGAGGGGACGGGTATAGGTGGGTCAAGGACTTCGACCTCAGTCAGTGTCCATGCCCAATACTCCTTGTAATCCAAGTCCTGAGTTGCTGGAAACGTGTGCTGGCACACACAAGCAGCGCACACGCGGACTGCAGCCAAGGAGCGGAAACTGCCTCCTGATTCTCGAGAAGCTCCACATCCGTCATGAGGTGCGACTCAGTGATGGTTGCTCTTGCTCGCAGGAGCAAGCTTCCGGTTTCCATGAGCGTGATCCGCTCTGGGTGAGGGCAGCGGCCATCGCGGATTTCAATGCGCTTCACGCCTTGGAGATTCTTCGCGAGCCAATATGGCTGGATTTTCAAGGCGTAGGCCGTGGTTCCGAAGGCAACAG